AAATCAATGAAATAAGAGGTATATATAAATATACCTCTCTAGGTGATCATGACCTACGGATATTCCTGCCTCCATTTCTCCCCTTTCCAATCCATTCCCTAAATAATCTTCCTTAAAGACTGACCCTGCTGCAAAACCTCAATGAGGTTGGGGCAAAAATATCTGTTTCCCCTCTGCAAAAAAAAAAATACTTTATTACGCATAAGAGAAAAAGGCCTTACATCGTTTGGACTCGAGGCCTTAGAGTGACCTCGCCCACAAAACTGAGGAGAAAAGTGAGTAAACTGTGAACTAAATGATGGAAAAAAGACCAAGATGATCAAAACCACAGGGCAAGGTCAGGCCCAAGTCTCAATTCAACTGAATCCAATCCAATAAGCATCTAAGCACCTACCAGGACCTGTGCTCCGTGCAGGGAATAAAAGACAAACACAAACAGTCCCTGCCCTCAAGGAGTTTACATTTTACAAAGGTAGATTTCCGTCTGCTTGCAGGCAAGAAAAAGTAAGCAGCAAGGGGCCCTGGGCAGTCCAGAGCCACAGGGGGAAAGTGCCGGCACTTTTTACTTGTAACAGCCATTCCGTGGTGGATTATATGCTGCCCTTTTCTTCTCTCTCCTTGGTTCGTCCTTAGTAGACTACACTCTTCTCCATTAGGGTAAGAATGGTGCCCAGGGCCGAGCACAAAGAAGTCACTCAGTCAAAGCTTGTTCAATAAAACTGAAGAAACATCTACTCTTGATCCTCCTGGGCTGGTGAAACCTCTGGGATAACGCGGAGGAAGGAACAGTGTCGTGGCTAGACGTCTCTCTGGAGAGAGATAGTGGAGCGGACATGCAGAATGAGGCAGACGTTTTCAGACAAAGCAGATATACCTGTTTCTGCTTAACTGTATTTCTTTATTATAAGAAAACAAAGTTTTCTGTGGAGATGAGGAGATGACGGTAATAGGGAAAAAAAAAGATCACCAATAAAAAAATTTTTTTAAATGTTAGAAACCTACTGTGGCTAGGAGAAGGGAGTAGCCACCTTCAATAAGCTGTGGAAGATCATAGGAAATGAGTGTTTTCACTTCCAAGAACATCCTTTATCAACCAGCTTCATGGTTCTGGGAGCTGAGATTCTTGGGACCAGGCAAGAGAAGGGACCCATGACCAAGCTGGTGCTTGACCTTTGCTTCTCCCAGATGACCTGGGTTCCAATCCCAGCTCTGCTGCTTAATATCTGTAAGACCTTGGGCAAGTCACTTAACAATCTCCCTATGCCTCAGTTTCCTCAGCTATAAAATGAAGGGGCTGGACAAGATGACATCTAAGATCTCTTCCAACTCTCTACCTATGAAGCCCTGATACTTCTCCTGGTGACAGCTTTTGTTGCCTCTGACCTTTAGAGTCACAACCTCCTGGATTCCCCAATAAATAATGCTTCTGTCTGTACTTCTCCTATCCTTACATCCTGTACATCCTGCCACTTCTCCTATCCTTAAACCAGACAGTCTCTCCCTTCCAACCCCTTCCCCATTTTTCTTTTCAGCACATTCTCATGACTTTTTTCTATAAGAACTAACCCACACCCTTCCTCTATAGTTCCCTCTTGCTGTTGAGTGTACCACTATCCTTCCAGTTACTAGGATCTATAAGCTCTGAGTCAACCTGGGCTTTTCCCTCTCTCTCACTCTTCAGATCCAAATAGCTGCCAACTGTTGTTGACTCTGCTTTTTAAAGTACAGCCAAAAATCCATCTCTCCCTTTTTATTCATGAGGCCACCAACCTGTTCAAACCCTAATCGTCTCTTGACCAGACTATTGCAACCACCTCCTAAATGGGTTCCCAATTTCCGATCTCTCCCCTCTCCAAGCTGTCCTCCATACAGCTGCCAAAACAATCTAAGGCACAGGTCTGACCATTTTCCATGCCCCTGATCTAAACTTGTCAATGGCCCTCTACTGGCTCTGGATCTTGTTTTCTAGAATAACCCCCTCAGCACAGCATTTAAAGCCCCCCATAATTTAGCTCCCACCTACTTGGCCAGTTATGACTTTACTCTTGACACTCTTCTTCCCAGCCAAACTGGTTCCCAAACTCACTCATTTTCTATACTTGGGGTACTCCCCCAAAATTTACATTCAGTTTTCTTCTTCCATACATTATAATATTCAAGCAATCTTTAATGCCTGGAATATACTTCCTTGGTAGCATGGTATGCTCTTAACCTTCCTTGAAGGCTCAACTCAGCTCCTACCTCTCAAGCCTCCCTATATCTGCCTAGTTGTTAGTGTTCACCCTTCCTTCTCAAATTACCTTATATTTACTAATGGGACACATGTTATATGTCACTCCCACAAATATCCCACCTTCCCCATTAGGATGTAAGTTCCTTGAAGATTTCCTTTATTGTCTTGTCTATCCGGAATGCTGCCTTGCACACAATAGGTGTTCAATAAATGTTTTATCGAAGTGACTCACTAATATAAGTGGCAAAGTGGAGTCAGGTGATCAGGGTTTGAATTCTGACTTTGCTGCTTACTGCTGCCTGTGTGACCTTGGTTCGGTTACTTTCTCTTCTTCTTCTTCTTTTTTTTTTGGGGGGGGGCTTCAATTTCCTCATTCATAAAATCCTTGAGGGACTTGGACCAAACTATCTTTAGGGTCTTTTCCAGCCTCTAAGTCCTATGATGGTACCCACTGCTCTATATGATCCTAGGAGTCAAGCCAGAGCTCCTCTTAGAACCAGGAGCTTTCTGTATCCTGCTTACCCATAGCACCAGTCTGTCCAAAACCGACTCCACACATGTCCTCTGTAGCTAATTATAGGTCAGTAAGCTCTCAGAACAGAGAAGGGGACAGATGGTGACTTCCTGTGGCCCTGATACACACAAACACTCCTTTTTGCCCATTCTTCCGATTTTCCTGAGACAGAAACTTTATGACAGCTTTCTCTTCCCTACCCTTATTCTCCCCACTCCTGACTCTAAATGCCAATCTTATCACCCCTATTCAGACCCCCATCGCACCTCATTTTCCTAGCTTCAAGCTATTTGCCAGTTCAACTTGGCACAAAGAGGGCCAAAAGCCCCAAGGGATAGAGTTTTTGGCTGAAGAAGATCTCTGTTGCTTTCTCACACTTCAAGCACACAGCGCCAAAACAATTCTCCCTCAGGGTTCTACTGGGCACCTGTACCAGGTCACACATAAAGGTCCTCATTTATCACAATGGCTTATCTTATTGTCATTATCTTGTTCCCTTCCCCACCTCCAATGCCCTCTGAAGGCCTAAAAAAAAAAATACTGCAAATGGCCCCCAGCTATGATTTCCTTCAGCAAGACCACAGCAATCAGATCCCAGATGATACTTGGGAGCCTGGCATTCCACCCACCCTCAAGCCCCAGATTTGATGCCACCCCCACAGTTATGACATCATGATATTCTGTTTCACAGCAGTATCCTTGATGCCAACAAGTACAATTCCCTTTCTGCCCCCCTCCCCCACTCCCATTTCCTCCCCCACACTTTTTCTCCTTCCAGAGATGTCATCTGTGCCCAGTGCCTAGTGCATTCTTGGCCCTTAAAAACCTTTGCACCATTCATCATCTAGTTACTTCCAGATGCCATTAAATTCAGGCATCGAGGAGCTGCAGGACAAAGCCCTGGAAAACAAGGAAGGGGGGGAAATAATACGGGCCTGTCCTTCCAGCCAGGACAGCTTCCCCAGGAATGCCTGGCCAGCTACACTGTGGGAGCATCCAAAAAGCCTGCTGAAAGGATGTGGTCCTCTCTCTCTGCTTTGATCTGTTACATCCAAATAGAGGGAAGGGGAGACTGGATGAAAGTACATTTTGCTGGTCAAAAACACACTCCTACACATACACATAAAGGGCTGCTTGAGGTTCCAGCCCATGTGTCCCTGGAGGTGACTTCAAGGCAGCCCCAAGGGACCACTTTCAAGCCCAAGCCAGAAGCCCTATAAGCTCCGTCAGTGGGAGGGATATAAAACCTGAGCAATACTTCCCTCATCATCCCTCTTTCCTCCACCCCATTAAACGTTAGACCTCAGGAAGGGAAGCTGGGGGTGGGGAGACAGCCCATACCTAGGAGTCCACCACCAGTCTTTCCCAGGAGAGTGACATCACCTTCTAGTGGCACTTCCTTCTCTCCTCTCCCATGATCCCCGCTTTTCTCCTATCCCCACCACCAAGAAAACCATAAATCACATTTACAATCTTTTCACCACCTCCCCTCCATTTGGTAAAGGAACACGATTCTGGAGAGGAACCCTCCACGAAACATACACATATACCCAGATCATAGCGGATTCTCACTTTCCCCGCATGTTCAGGGACCCCCTGGGTCCAGGACCCCTGTTCAGGGTTGGCCAGAAGGCCCCCTCCCCCCATCCTCAGCACTGCGGAGAGGGAGGCATCGCTACCCAGAAAACTGACGGGTTAGACAATTGTGGGGAGGTGGGGTGAGGGAAGAAGCCTCCGGCCGAGACCCCACCCCAAAGACCCCTCACCCCTAGGGCCTTGCCTGCCCAGACAGCTGAGCTGAGGAAGGGGCTGGGCGAGCTTCCTGGAAGGGCGGCGCTGTCCACAACACCCCCCACCCCACCCCCTCGCACTGGCCGGCTCAGACCCCTCCGGAGGACTGGCACAGCTGGGGGCAGGGGTCAGTCTGGGGCGGGGTAGGGAGAACCGAGGGCTCCTGACTCCCCGCTCCGCCTCGCAGACGATGCATCATCCCCCTCCCCACCCCACCCCCACACACTCAAGGGCAAGAGCCTGGGAGCCAAAGGGTCGGCAGGAGGGGCCGAGTCAGCACCTGCCGGCCAGGAGATACCCAGGGGCTAAAGGAAGGGCCCGAGCCATCTCCGAGGATGCCGCGGGCGCCGCCGCCACCAGAGCGGGGCGAGAGCCCGGCAGGGGTTAGGCTGGCGGAGGGGTGGGGGGAGGGGGAAAGGAGGAACCCTGCCCTCCCCCCCACGCTTCCCGCCCGGCCCTCACCTGCCGCCGCTGCCGACGCCGCTCACAGGCGGCAGGGAGCCGCCCCCGACCGCGGGAGCCCCGCACGTCCAAGGGAACAGAGACCGAGCCGAATTGGCTGCAGCCTCAGCCGATACCCGGCCCGAGGCCCCGCCCCCAGCCGCGCATATTAGCATGTCCACGCCTCCGGAGGCGGAGCCTCCCCGCCCCGCCGCGGGGTGGCTAGTGGCCCCAGCACGTGACGAGGGTTGGTGGCGCTCCTGGCGCCATCTTGGTAGGACCCCAGGCCAGGTGTGGATCAGATTGGGTGTTTGGAGGCCGAGGGCTGGGCCGTTGTTCCGAACCCGGCCCTTCCCAGCCCAGCCCCCCTATCCCAGTGCTGCAGCTAAACCCTAGGCTTTGTTGTCTCGCCATTTCAGACCTGCTCCCAGGTCCTGCATGGTCACTGCTTGCCCCGGCGTCGGGGGCAGGGGGGAGACTATTTTTTGAAGTGGGAAAACTTGAGACTTGCAAGTCGCAGTAAGGACTGCCAAGATCAACGCGGGAGTGAATGGGGTCCAACTCTTGCTGGAGGACTGCTGTGCCCATACCCCTTGCAGATGTGCTGGCCATGCTCCCGGGGCGGTAGGGATGGGGGCTCGGGCGTAAATACTCCGTTCCCTGAAATGCTGTGTGCGCCCGGTGTTTCGTTCCCATCACCTCAGGCTCCCTTCTGATGCCACTACCACTTTTCTCCATTCTAGTTCGTAAGTTGCGGGATGCCTACAGAACCCATTAAGAATACCCAATGAGCACTGCTGTAAGTGTGAAGATTTTTTATATACATGCAGCACTGTGTACATATGTATTTATAAATATATACATAACGTGTTCTATTTCAGTAGCAAATACTAGTTTATGCAGCAGGATGGCACATTGAGCCTTGCTCTCCTTTTCCCTTCTCCAAAAATATTTCCTATGTCATTTTATTTTCCTGTTTTAGGAAAAAAGTGGGGGGAGCTGAGTGTGATCCAAAACCCAATGAGTCAGAAGAAGACATGCCTATCTCTAGTGGGAAAATTATAGGCCCTTTTACCTAGACTGGCTCTGAGGACAATTCATAGAAAAAAAATTGAAGAAAAGGACAAGTATTCAACTTGCATCACTTACAATCGCCACAAACATTCGGGATTGGGGAAGAAGGGAGAAGCTTCCTCAAAGTTATAGGCTTTGGGGCATGCAAATCCTTTCACTGAGATAGAAAAAGTCTAGAAATAGTAGCTGGGCAAATGGCACATCTAAAGCCACAGGAGTTAATGACACAACTCATACATAGTACTTTAAAGGTTTAGAAAGCACTTACCTCACAAAGTGTGAGGTAGGTATTATTTTTCCCATTTTACAGATGAGGAAACTGGAGCTTAGAGGAGTGACTTGCTCAACATCACCTAGCTACTAAATAGCAAAGTTAGCATTCAAACCAAGATGTTTTGATTAATCATAAATTCAAGAGGTGAGTAATCTTATGCCAACTGAACAACTGAGCCAATATCCATTGTTGGCACTGTTTTTGTACAATAAGTTTCAAGTTTGGCTTTGCAAAGAGAAAAGAGATGAACAAGGCAGAAGTCAAATCAAAACACCTAATACAAAAAACCTAAAACAAATAGTTTCATTTCAGTCTTCTTTCAAAGTCATCCTATTTCTGGTAGTTTCATTTCAGGGAGACCAATTAGACAAGTCTTCCAATGCAAAAAAAAAGTTTTAAAATAGGGGAGTTTATAAGGAACCACCCCATTTCTTGGTGACAACCCCAAATGTTGCTGCTTCCGTCCTACGCTCCCATCCTGTTAACAACTCAGTACATAGAATGAGGCCAGATAGGCCTAATAACAGACCAAGCTGCATTATCAGGCAGTGATTTTTCAGGAGAATTTTCCAGAACCCATGCAGTAGAAAAAGCAGTGGGACAAATATTCATTTAGAGGCTTGACCTATGTTATCAGCTACCTGGTACACAGGGTTTCCACACAGAAGGTTCTACTTTGTTGCCAGGGTCTAGGTGAGATCCAGCTGTCTAGCCAATCACCACCACCACCACCGAGATCTTAAAATCATCAAAAAGCTGCAAGGTAGCTTCACACAAAACAGTTGTTCTCTTTTCTCAGATCATCAGCTATAGAAACACTGCACCCCTGTTTACTATAGGGAATAAATAAATCTGCAAAGGTGCCATAGGTTAGGCTTCAGGAGGCACCCAGGCTGGCGTCAAAGGCAGCTGAGTGAAACATAAAGGTAAAGTAAATCAAGACTTCCTATTTAGCCTAGGAAGCCAATTTTACAGAGAACTGACAAATCAATTTTATTCTTTTAATGATATGTCTCCTACTTATTTCTGGAAGAAAAACAGTGTCTTCCCTGTAGTAACTTTCATGTTTTTCATCGTAAAATTTCATTACAATCTAACAAAAGACAAATTTCAAATGCTTACTTTTCATCTACATATGTGATTTGGCTTTTAATATATCCCAGGAAATCTCAAGTTTCAGCTTTATTCAGAAGCATCTGAGATTTTTAAATGACCAAAAGAGATTTAAAACAACAAGTATCTCCATAAAAAAAATGATTAGGTTTCTGAGAACCCTACTACCACCTCTTTTATTTTCTGGAGGAAAGAAAATTCACTTATATGCAGATGGGCCAAAATGGGACGCTAATCCACAAAGGAATGCAGAAGCTTTCCAGTTTGGGGATTCCAAAAAGCTGAGTCTTCTCAAATCAAGATGTTCCATTTTCACTGGGGTTAATAAAATAAAAGACACCAAACTCAACAGCACCAAAAAGGGCTTTTAAAGCAAAGAACAGGGCCAAGTTTCTCCTTTCAAATGCAGAATTTACATTAACATAAGTTTACAAATCATTGTTACCCCCTTTGATTCTTCTGTTTGCCCCATGTGAGAACCCCCAGAAATTGAGCAGCATCTGAGTTACTAACAGGAAAGGCAATCCAGCTGCCCCCTTCCTAGTTGTATTCTGATGATTAACGGATTATCCAGCTGGCTCAGGGCTGCCCCCAACGACGGGAGGCAGTGACTAAGCTCTCAAGGAAAAGGGATACTGAGGATGCCACCAGTCAAAGAGACGAACACTGTGCACGGGATCCAGAATGACTTGTACACCCTGTTCACTGCGTAGTTTCCGACCATTCTGGACAGGAGTGTCCTGGAACACCAGCCTCACCCGATGGTGCCTCATGTCAGTACTCACGTTGATAGTAAACTGAAAGGAAAAAGCAAAATGAGTAGCCCCGTGAAGCAATCCCTCCAATGAAGCAGGCTAGATTTGCTACAGATTATACTCTACAAAAAAATGGTCTAAAGAGAATTCACAGAGAGGCTGCTCAACTCAAAAAAGCAGCAAGATTACTCTATAAAAGTAAATTACTAAAACAGCCTTATAAAGAAAAACCATTTAAGGTTAATTTTATAAACTCATCCCAGAAGCTAAAAATAAAGACAATGATCCTTGAATATAAACCTAGAAGGCGCAAAAGACTTAATGTCATAATTTTTCCTTCTGTAGCTGCCAACTATATTGTACGAAAAGGGACAATGTGCCAGAGATATAGAAAAAGCATCTTTCATGATAAGCTGACTCAAACAGTCTAGACTTTGCACAAGGGGTGTCAATTTGCATCCTAGGTTAGAGATGCCTTCCATATGCCATGAGGCCTGTCTTGTGTCTAAGACATTATTATTTCTCAAACAGAGCCTTCTATGTTTATGGATCATTAAAAATCAACATCCAGACAGGAGAGTGGGATCTCAACTGACCACCCTCTCCAAAAGTCCATCTGCCCACAAGCCAGGGGTAGCTGATTTTGGGACTAGTGACCCACCAGAACACTTAGGATGGCCTTTTCCCCCATTATGTTCTTGTTACTTTCTTTTTTCTCAAACCCTAGCCAGAGTCAGTCCCTCAAGAGATACGAGAAGAAGACTCCAGAGTCTTCATCTATAAGCTTAGCCAAAGACCACATCATTGTCAGGCCTTCTTTCTTATCCTACTGCACACAGGGTTATTCAGTTAATAGGGTTACTCAGTTAATGACTCATCCTGTCTCCACTTACCAGGGTAAAAATCATGCCCATGACAATGGGGATAAAGATGAAATTGAGAGTGGTGACTTGCAGGAGGCAGCAGTCCTGGTCTGGGTTGGTGTGAACATCTTCATACTGAACGGGAGGCTGCAGCCCTCCCACACACTTACTCTTTAACCTGGGGGACTAAACAGAACTTAAAATGAACTCATTGGATTAGAAAAATGTAAATGGTTCTAGGATGCCACCAATGACAAAGGTATGCCTAACCTAATGACACCTACTGTCTTTTGTTTCACCTGGCTACTTATTCTGTGTAGCAGAGGACTAGATTGTAAGGTAAGCAAAGACAAGAAAAACAGCAGCTTATATTCATACACCACTTTATAATTTACCAAACACTTTCAAAGAATCTACCCCTGAGCATGAGCATAGGAAAGGAGGACACATGACATCCAAAGATTCACTAAGAAGGACAACAATGAATCTTACAAAAAGTAGTTACATTCAACTTAAAATCAGTGTTAGAGGTGGGAGGGAAGGAAGGAGCAAGAGAGGGAGAAAGACTGAGAGAGAGAGAGAGAGAGAGAGAGAGAGAGAGAGAGAGAGAGAGAGAGAGAAAGAGAAAAGACAGACAGAAAGACAGGCACCTACATAGGTGTATGTGTACATGTGTGTATATATGTGTGTACATATATGTACATACATATCCATATATACCCATATATATACCAAAGCCTTATTTTAGTTGAATAAACTCATTTCTCAACAAATTTCCAACCAGAGCTGATAAAGGAAAAATCCTGTTGTAATGAATATTTTAAATGTAAAATTTTATTAGTGGTGCAAACTATTTCTATGTTCTAGCAAATGACCAATGAATTAATAGATTATTTATTAAAATCTGAAATCAATTTTTTAAAGGGTTGATTTTATTTAAATTAATTCATCTTATGACAAGACTTCCTCATCCACCAACACAAAGAATCACTGTGGAATAGTAGATGATAAAGACCTTGGTTCTAGCCCAGGAATTCTAAATCTTTTTTTATGTCATGAACTCCTTTGGCATTCTGATGAAACCTATACAAATCTCAGATTAATGTTTTTAAATGCATAAAATAAAATCTATAGGAATGTAACAGAAAACAATTATTTTAAAAGACAATTCTCAATTAAAAAAAAAAGTTTATGGATCCCGGGTTAAGAACCCCTGTTCCAATCCCAGTCAGGTATTAACTAATCTTGTGGCCGAGGGGAAATAACTTAATTTCTCTAAACCTAAATTTATTCATCGCTAAAATGAGGATTAATATCCAGCTTTAATTCACAAAGCCATTACGAGATGGAGATTCAACGAACTTCACTGAGATATCTTGCCTCTGTGACTCTGAACAATCCACATAACATTTCTGGGCCCCAGTTTCCTCATCCATAAAATGAGGAGCTGCTCTGGCAGGCCTCTAAATTCTCTCAAAGCTGTAATTCTCTGAATATGACAGGGCTTTGAAAACTTTAAATTATTAAAAAGAAAAGGATTATCAGCACTTCTAATAATGGTAGGACTCTCAAATCTGTGGTAGGAGTTTGACTTTGTTTAGTGAATTACTCTTCCTAGATGTCTAATAAGCCGTAGCAAACTTGGAACCTCTGGCAAAATGTCAACCAGTGTATGACAAGTGTATGCTTCCTGCTTTGTCAGCTATCAGTGGAGAGATCTACTGTGTACAAAGAGGTAGAACAGAGGAGGATACTCAAACTCTGGTCACTATTCCTTGGAGAAATCAGAATTTTTTTGAGTAGAAGATTCTCAAGATTGCTTTGTCATAGTCACTAGCTCCTGTCCCTTATTTGTTAGGAATCTGTGGTACCCATCCTGATCCAACATCTATCTTAGCATGATTTTGCCAAACATGTTTTCCCAATGTCTGACATGTGACAAGAAGTTAGGAGACTAAGAATATCTTAGCAGCTATATTTCAAGACCAAAAATTTGGGCTAGAAATACAATAAACTTATACAAGCATATATTCCTTCCAGAAATTACACAAAAATCAATTAAAAAGCGATTCACTTACAAAAGAATGCCTTATATTAAATGGGGTAAACTTTATTTGCAAAATAAGTCAACAGAATCTAGGAGATAAGTGGGGGAACAAAGCAGGCAAAGTGGTAAAAGATAGACAAGTCAATGAAAGGGACTGGGCCTTAACAACAATCCAAGTAGAAAAGATTTGCCCTCTTGGACACCACAGCTTTAAGTTAAACCTGAAATATACCAGTTACCCTGCATTCCAAATCCTAAAGAACCCACAAAATATAGGCACAAAACCCCTGGATACTGACCTACAAACGAGCACCAAAACACTTGCTTTAAATGAATTAACAAAAAAATGTAACAAGTTCCTTTTTATATTATAGAGCAGCTAGGTGGCACTGTTAACAGAGTAATGTGTCTGGAGTCAGGAAGACCTGAGTTTAAAAACCAACCTGTGACACTTAAAAGCTGTGTGATTCCATGGGCAAATCACTAATCTCTGCCTGTCTCAGTTTCTTCCTCCATACAATGGGGTAATCATAACACCTACCACTCAGGATTCTTGTGAGACTAAAATGAGATATCTATAAAGCAAATCTTTTGTGAACTTAAAGTGCTATATAAATATTAGTAAATTATAACTATAATGTCACTTAGGCAATTTTTCCATGCACAATTTTCACAGCACAAAATGGAAGCAGAGCAACCTGCAAAACAATGGTTTAAGTTTAAATTCCAGGTCCCCCAGACAAATTTTCAAAGGGGGCTCGACCTAAAAACCTCAGAATCATCATTGTTATATACCCGGGGAGGAACCTCATCTTTCTGAAAGTTCCCATTTGGCACAGGAGTCTTTTTGGTAAAAGCTATACCCTACATTGTGGGATCTTCAGCAACATATCATTCATCTCCTAAGAGGGAACCCATTTGTAGTGTTAGGATACATTTTTAAGAGGAAGAAGGACTGAGAAGCATTGTTAAAACAAAACAATAGGGGAGGTCTAATATGATCAATGAGAAAATCCTGAATGAGAACCAGCATAAGGGTTCTGATTATTCCATCCAAAGGATCAGCTGTTGCAATTAAATTCTTAAAAGACTTAAAGGAAAGGAAAATGTCAACTAACAGGAAATCAGTACGACAAAATCCTCAAGAAAGTCCTGCTCTCTGGGCCTCACTCAAGTCCTACACCCCACCATCCCCAATCACATATTCCCCCAGAAACACTGGGGAGGGCCGCTGCTAACCAAACCCAAATGAGATACCAGAAAAGCTCATACCTGTTTTTTAAACTTGAAGTTAAATTCCCACATTGGTTCTTGTCTGTTCCCAACAATCTTTCTGTACCAGAAAAGCAGACACTGTTATAAGGAAATAAAAAACATCACAAGAGACTGTAAAGTGAAACAAAATCAGCAACAGCAGCCTCCCTGCTTGACAGATCTGATACCACCTACAGTGAGTTACCATCTACAGTGGCACTGCAAGGCGCTGACTGAGAGCTGCCCTGGTCATCTCTATTTTCCACATAAAACTAGCCAATCCCAGGGCTGCCCAGCACCAAAAAGAGGGACCCACAGTGTTAACTTTAGAATCTGTCAAAGTCACCCCCTGCTACTCTCATCTTTAAAATACAGAGATGTGGGCTACAGAGACTGGTGCATTCACTCTGATTCAGTAGGCCACATCTCCATATTGAAACCAAAGGACAGCCAGCAGCCACCAGGCAAGGTGCCAGCAAGCTGTAAAGCTGGGCAGAGAAAATCCCGCCCCTGTGATAAAGGGAAGCAGCTCAAGAGCTCCTCAGAGCAGAGGGCCCATCTGAAAACTGCAGTCAGGCTGCACTAGTTGTTAATAAGCAGCCCCTTGGTGGCAGCCAAGCTACAGCTAAGGTTAAGCACAAGAAGTGAAGTACCTCCCAGGGGGTAGGGGGTGGGTCATCCGCCGTGCTGGCTGTCCTGCCCTTCAGACATGCCCTGTACGTCCTGCTGTTCCATCAAAAATAATGGGCTTGGCTTTAGGGGGCAAATACTTCTGCTGCCATCACAACGGCTCCAGTGTCCCACACAAGCTATGCTATTGAAAAGAGAGAGAGGGGGGAGAATCAAATACGAAAAGCTGGAGTCGAGGACCAGGGGACAGTTCTCCTACAGGCATGCCAGCAGCTCCCTGAATGCCATGCGACTGTGGGTCCATAACTGGCAAGGCCATGCATGGGTCACCTGCCACTCCAGTTCCCAAACCCTCTTCCAGCTCGGAAAAATCTAACACAAAGGCATAGAAGAAGCCATGGCGGCCTGAGCTTACTGCCCACTGCCCGGGTTTGGTTTGTAAAACCCTCACTGTCATTCCACTCCGGCTTTTTATATTTCATTTACTCCAATTTAACAAGCAGCAGTACAAATAAGAGGAGATGGGCATTTAAGATTAACTTAGCCATAGCATTTGCATTCTGCACTGGAGCCGCTAGGATGTGTCTCTAGGAGTTCGCCCAATGTCACTCTACTCCCTTTAACCAACAAAACTAGGGTTGTAAATTTATGGGATGAGCCCCATGTCCACCACCACCAGTCTAACTCTATGGTAAACATACGGGAAGCTTACTATATAAACGCTACAAATGACACACCATCCATCCACATCAGAAGCATAAGCAGCTGTTGAATGAGAATTCTACTCGCCATGCATTCTGCTCCTGCCCTCACTCCACCAGGTAACACAACGCTAAGCTGAGGGTTTTGCTAAAAGCCCTTATGTATAATCCTGACTCTCAGGTTTCATTTGACAAAGGGAAGAAAACTACTACAGCATAGAATGCCAAACTAACAGTACACTTTCAATCCATACATATATGTATATATATACATATATACATATACATATATACACACACACACACACACACACATATATATACACATATACACACACACACACACACACACACATATGTATATATGTCAGAAAGCTATGCAGTCACCCAAGATCTGAAACGAAGGGTTGTATAATGAAAAGATTGTATAACTTTCATGTTAATTAAAGCACCAGCATAACAGACTTAAGAAGGCTTGGAAGAACGTTAGGTTGTAGGATCAGGGGCAGAGTAATCAAAGTGACCTGCACTTCAATTGAAGTCAACATCTACTGACTGCCTACTATGTACACTGTATTAAGCACTAGAGGAGATATAAAGATAATTAAGATATGCCTCCTGCCTTCAAGGATCTGAAAACTCAAGAAACATCTATCTAGAGAGCAAGTAGGTATTAGCTAACTAGGGAGCAACCTGAGAGATTAATTCCCCAAAGCATCAGAGATGCAAAACTGCCTAGATAGAAATAATGTCACCACTTAGGGAGATTACAAGGTGACAAGAGGAAAAGAGAGAAACAATTTGTTACTGAGAGACCTACGTCCCATCAGATACAATCAGATACTTGACTAGACATATAGGGCATAAAAGTAAAATAACTGGCAGACTTCTCAAAGACGGGAAGTTTCAAACACTTAAAAATCCTGGGTGTTTGACACAGACAGAATGAGAAAAGGAAACCCTAGATCTTAAAGCCACAAAAAGTTTGCCCTTTTCATGTGAGCTAAAGTTTTCATTTTGTTTTATGATAAAAAGCACTTTTCATGCTACCCCTGTCTAAAAATATGTATTTATCCACATAAAGAAATCAATTCCTTCCATTGTCTCTTGGAAAATAAATTATGTTGTCTTCTTCCTAGACCAACCCCAACAAAACCACCACCTAGAGTGTCCCAATATTCAACACAATACAAATAAACTGACACAAAGAAAACAGGGAACTCCATTAAAAAGCACAAAAAGTCTTTAACAGTGAAGGCTGTAAAAAGCCATCCCAACAAGAAAAGAAATATTTTAGAGGACTGAAACGTCTAAACTAAAACAGCCAGTGTTGGTCTCCTATAGTTGGCCGCAACCTTGCTACCTTCCCACTCCAGAACTCTGGCTGGGGGCAGAAATCTTAATGGAAACTTGGTATAAAATGTGCCCCCAAAGGCACACGAGACCATCAGTCCCAAACCCCATCAACAAGCTCCCCATTTCCCTCTTACTTACTTTGGAATTCTTTAAAGTGCTCGGAGTGGTCTCTGGAATGGCCGGATTCTTGGAGATTCGAGCAGCAAACGGCTCATACATGTGGTACAGAGACCGGATCACACATGCCCGGAGACAGCGCAGCTTCTCCATAGACTCCGGCCGCAAGCGGAGGGGCAGGTAGGCGTCTAGCGTGTAGTGCCTGAAACAGGACACGTTACCCATACCAACATGTGAACGATCCCACAACAGCATGCCAGACCAGGACCACCACACGGCTGAAACCAGATGAGCTAGAACTTGGCCATACTACCCCATTAAGGTGTTCTCAGCCAACCCATAATGTTCACACCCAAGAGCCACCACTTCCTACACCTCTCAACTATTCTGCTTATGGATATATAATCTCCAGATTTCCATTTATTTTTTAAGTCCTCCTTGTTACCACTCTGGCTCCCTCTTCACTACTAGAATTGCAAACACTTAGAAGATTCCCTTTTAACTTGTAGTAACAGCAAGAGAAGATGACTCCAAGTGAGGTAGGACCCAAAAGCCAGAAGGACCATGGTATAACAAAAACCTGAATCACTACAGGTACCTTTCTTAGAATGAGCTTAAGTCCTTTGACAGAAACAAAAGTGAAGAAACAAGAGTAAACCAGGAAAGGGAGAACCATCATCTTACCCAAGCTGTCTATCTCTTGGGAAACTGCCTTCTTGATTAGACCTTTCTATCCCCTCTACATCCTCACCTTCACTTTCTCTATTGCACCCATACCCCAATAATCAGAGCTGGGATTCTGATTAATTATACAAGGTTTTCTCTCCTTGGCAGTTCACAACTACTACTGATACAGATACAGCAACACAAACAAAAAGATGGCATCACAAAACCTCAAAATTGACTACAGGAATTAAACTTCTCAGAAGGAAAAGAGACACCACTAATTCAACAAATCAACTTGAAAACATAAGAAAACAGGTGTCTCTAGAACTTAACAAGTTTGACTAGGAAAGGTCCCACTTGAAAGGCCACAGAAAGGTCTTTTGGGGGAACTTAGGGCATCACTCTGCTGGAGCAAGCTGCAGAGGTGAAAAGTCACAGAAAAGATAACAGCTGAGAGTTAGAAATTGTAAATACAAATTAGAAAAGCATCCAAGAGGCAGGAAAATGCACATAGCATAGGATAAAGCACCAGGACTTCATCCAGGGAGCAGTTCCAAGCCACAGGAAGCACTGAAGTCAGCTATATAAATAGTATATTAAGCTCACTTCAGTCGCACCTTCTATACAATCTGGTCCAAAAGGCGGCAGTGCAAGTGACGGTCCAGGCATCCTTACAAATCAGAGAAAACTTCACTATGTCCTCAGGACGAATGTAGGAGGCCAATAAAAGCCAAATATCCATGGGATATTCTTCTCCAACAGCCCCCTCAGGGTCTTCTGAAATAGAATGAAATAGAGTCAGAATCTCAGTCTTTTTCCTTCTGTAACTTAAACCTATACCGGAGGCTTTGTAACTATTTTCTGCCTTTTAGAGTCTAGTATTTCCCTGTGATGGATAGATCCTCTATTGCCTCCAGGAACAAATATAAACCTATTTGGCATTTCAAAGCTCTTCCACAGACTGGTCCTAACCTACCTCCTAGCTTTATTCCACATTATTCCCCACTTCAGCACATTACTGTCCATACTCACCTTCTCACTATTCTTCACATACATTACTCACTCCATCTCTGTTCTGCATGCCTTTGTACAAACCATCCCTCATGCCTGGAACACATACTTTCCTCAATTTAACTCTGAGAAGCCTTCTAGGGTCAGCACAAGCTACACTTTTTAAGCAGTCTTCCTCATTCTTCTAGCTAGCAGTCTTGAAGGCCGCCCCACCCCCACCTAAATGACCTTTGGTCTATTCTGTCTATACCTCTGCATTTACAAAGTGCCCCTTTTAGTACCTCAAGCAACTCTCTCTGAGATTATAAATTATACAACAGCTGCTGTTTCCCTAGAGGGCAGGTTTCTCACTAGGAAGAGCCAATGAAATCACAGGCCCAAAGCAATAGTAACAAAACTTAGTATAATATGGTGTTTTAGGTTTCGCAAAGCACCCATCTAGTGGTCACAACAACCTTATGAAGTAAGTGCTATTATTATTCCCATTTTACAGATGAGGAAACTAAACTTTGCCCAGGGTCACAAAATTAATGCCAGAAATGAGATCTGCACCACGGTCCTCCTGTCTCCAAGTCCAGTGCTCTCTCCTCAATATTATGACACCTCTATTAAAGGTTTACACTGTACCAGGCAAAGTGCTAGAGACAAAAGTTTAAAGTAACAGTTCCCCCCTAACAGAACTACGATTCTAGGAGTCAGGGGGCCTACATTCAAATTATATCGCTGACCACACCTTTGTGAACCTGAGTGACTCACTTAACCTCTCTGGGACTCAGTTCCTTCCTCTGTAAAATGAGGTTAGGCAAGGTATCCTTTGAGGTCCCTAACATGTCTATAGCTACCTTGGGTTTCCTCATCTATAAAATGGACCCTCACCCCCCCACCCCCAACTCAATCAACTCCAATGGTTCCCTATTATCTCTAGGATCATATATAAAATTTTCTGTTCGGCATTCAAGGCCCTTCATAACCTGCCTCCCACTCTAACTTTCTATACTTTTCTTACACCTTAAAACATCCCTCTCACCCCTCTATATACTCTTATGATCCAGTAACAACTGGCCTCAAACAAGACACACTATCTCCTACTTTCAGGAAATGTCAGTGGTCGCCTCACATTCCTGGACTATTCCTCCTCCTCATCTCTGCCTCCTGGCTTCCACCGAGTCCCAGCTGATCCCACTTTCTACAGGAAGCTTATCTCAACCTCCTTTAATTCTAGTGATTCCCCTGTGTTATTTCCAATTTATCACATATCTATATATATATATATCTATATATATATCTATATATATAGATATATATATATTTCATATATAGAGAGATATTAAAATTGATATATATATATATATTTCATATATAGAGAGATATTAAAATTGATCCTGTATAATTTTCTTATTGATCTTATTTATAAGTAATTCATTTTGTCCTGCAATTGCTTAAGTAATGGTTCTTTGTCTATGAACTCAGTTCAGAGTTCAGCTGGCTTATAATAGGTTAAGTTTAAAAATCCAGCTCTCCTGCCTCAAGGAATTTAGCTGACCTTGGAGAATGTGTGAGAAAGCAAGGGAGTTTGGGCCTGATATCTTTATCCCACCAAGCCATCCTTCAAGGATGTCTGGTTTGCTGTCCAGAACTCTAGGACACTATTCTCACACCTGCATTCAGACAATAAGAACTTCTTAGTCTCAGGAGAGAAGGGTCATTGCTAGCCCCATTACTAAACTTCCAACCAATCATGATGCTCCCTGTCCCTCAACTCTGTAACCAACCATGTTGCCCTTAATTCCCTGATGTCATCTACCCTGCTCTATTCTTTGGTCTGTACCCCCCAAAATCCTGAAACAAGGAAGGGTCCTCTTGCTCAGGGTGTTTGGCATTAATGGAGGCGAGCCATTTATTGACAGATAGCATGCCCCGGCTAATAAATGTTATCTTGCTCAAAGATCTGCCTCATTGTTTCCATGCTGTCTCTCCTATTAGATTAAGCTACTCAAGGGCAGTGACTGTTTTCTGCTTTCTTTGCATTCTCTGTGCTTAGCACAGTGCTTGGCAAATAGTAGATGCTTAATAAATGCTTACTGATATACTGTTGTCGGGAAAAATCCCTCTCCATAAAATTACCTTAATGGATCTGGCAATTTCTCTGAACACCATTTCCATTCCAAGAATATCCCTCAAAATTCCTTTCCAAGTACACAACCTTAAAGTCAATTCTAGTGAGCTGCTCCTACGTTCCAGCCTTACTTGGCTGTTCCCCTAACCTTTACTCATTTGTTCCTTCAGAAAAACTTTTCTAACTGGCTACTTCATGAAGTTCTACAACTTCCATCATCATCATCATCATCTTGTTTCCCCTCAATTCCTCCAGTTGTCTTCTGTTCTCTTCTCACTTCTAATTCCCCAAACTCTTAAGCTTCAGTCATCATGACAGCTCTGCTTCCCTCCAGGGCCACTCTCTTCTACCTCCTACTCCCACTGTTCAGAACTAATGTTATACACACTCAATTGGGTATGGAAATGTGTCTTACCCTACAGGAAAATAGGGGAAGAAGGGAACAAAAGAGCAAGGGAATGATAGAAAGGAAGGCAGATTGGGAAAGGCGGTAATCAGAAGCAAACACTTCTGAGGAGAGACAGGGTCAAAAGAAAGAATAGAATGGGGGGGGCAGGATAGGATTAAGGGAAATAGAGTCAGTTTTTCAAAACATGACTACTATGGAAGTGTTTTGCATACCTGCACATGTATAACCTATACTGAGTTGCTTGCCTTTTCAATGAGGGTGAGTGGGGAGGGAGGAAGGGAGAAAATTTGGAACCTAAAGTTTTAAAGACACATGTTTTCACATGCAACTGGGAAATAAGAAATACAGGAAATGGGGTACAGAAATCTATCCTGCCCTACCGGAAAGTAGAAAGGGAAGGGGATAAAAGAAGAGGGGGAGAGATAGAAGGGAGGGCAGACTAGCAAAGGGATACTCAGAATGCTTGCCATCTTGGGGTGAGGGGAGGGGTGAGACGAAAATTTGAAACTCAAAATCTTGTGGAAGTAAATGTTGAAAGCTAAAAATTAATTTAAGAAAAATTTTTAAAAATCAGCTTTCAAAAAAATAAAATTTTTAAATTTTAAAAATTTAAAAAAATAACTAATGTTAGTGCATTCAGTTCTCATGTGTTCAAGAAATAAAGAAGAATTAGATCAAACGCTTTTCCCCACACAAGCACATTGACTCTCACATGGCAAGAGGCTAAACAAGAACTTTTTCATTTAAGAGACAAAGTACAGCAATACCTAAATATCAGGGATGAGCATCAATAACATCAGTTTTTTGGTGTTTTTTTTTTTTTTGGTGAGGCAATTGGGGTTAAGTGACTTGCCCAGGGTCACAGAGCTAGTGAGTGTTATATATCTGAGGCCAGATTTGAACTCAGGTCCTCCTGAATCCAGGGCTGGTACTCTACCCACTGTGCTAAACTAGCTGCCCCAAAAGTCAGGATAATTAAATTTAAGGAGTTCTAACCTCAAATTTCAAGTGGTTCTTATTACAAATGAACCAAATACCCAAGTGCCACGTATACACAAGGCTCTCACAAGTAATAATTTTTTTACAAGTAATAACTTTATTACTAATTAATTACTACTACTCAACTAATTAGCTTATATTTTTCATTTTCACCACAAAAAAAAATTTGCTTTTTTTCTCTTGCCAATTTGCAACTGAGGAAAGCAGGGCTGGTTATAACCATGGTGAAGAGAAGCAAGGGAATGATTGAAATAAGTGAGGGGGAGATGCTTTTGAATAGACCACAGAGGGCGTCCTGTCAATTTCACAAATGTATTGGCATGCAATGAAAATTGTTGAAAAATCCTGAGCTAGAAGCTAACTCAGGCCATTTAACACTGTCTTTAACATGACCAAAAAAAAAAAACCAAAAAACCCCAACAACATTATTCAGGAGAAGTGTTTCATGAAGGAAATGCATCTTGAACCAGACCTTGAAGAAGACAACAAAGGTCAATGGGAAGACACTCCAGGTGGCATGAGACAAGTCTGAATAAAACTACGGCAGATCGAAGAAGTAAGGCATGTTTGAGGGACAATAAGGAAACACACTGAACCGTAATGGAAGGGTCATGTTGGAGAGCGAGGAGAGGTGAGTTTGGGTAGATAAAAGTGGGGACAATAAATATAAGAGCACAAATACCAAATTTAGGCATCTGGATTTGACCCAGTAAGCAACAATTTCAAGAACTTCGGTATTACACATTTCATAATAACAGACTACATAGTATTTTAAAGTTAACAAGGTTTTCCCAATAACCACTCTGGGAGGCAGATTATACAATTATCAGTGCCTACTTTATAGGTAGGGAAACTGAAGCTCAGAGAGGTTAAGTGACTTATCTGTGGGCTTACAGCTACTGTCTGAGCCAGGATTGAAATTTAGGTCTCTTGGAGAAAAGGTCTTATATAAATAAAAATATTTATAGTAGCTGAATAAAATGCAGTATACAAATGCAATGAAATATTGAGTTGTAAGAAATGACCTGCAAAGGAAAATATTACTGAAAAACATCAAAACTCTAATCACACTTCAGAAGATTTACAGTCAAGTATGGCTTCCTCCTCCCAACAGAGAGGTGGTGGGCCTACAGGGGTGGAATGAGGCCTACCAACCTCAAATATGGTCAGTGTCTTGATCTGTTCTGCTTAACTGTATTTCTGTTACAAGGGAGGATTAAGTCATTGAAAATAACAATGCTGTTTTACCAATAAAAAATTTTCCTAAAAGAATCCAGGGCTTCTGGTTCCAATCCAAGACCCTTTCCACTACACCCGCAGCCAGAAGTGAGTTATGAAAATATAATATATTGGGAAAACTAATCTGGCAGCTATAAATAAGGCTGAAAGTTAAGTAGCTATGACAGAAATCCAAGCTGAAGATGAATTAAGTCTAGATTATAGGGGTTATGGAAACTGACAGGAAAGAGCAAACCAAAGAGATATTGTAGAGGAAGAATGAGCAGGATTTGGTAACTGGATTTGGATGTGTGATGTAAGGAAAGGAAAACAAATTAGTTCAGTATTTGACAAACTTAGTTTCAGACTATAATGGAATGTCCAATTGACAATATAAGCAGAGAAATAAAACTAGAAGTGCACCCACATTATTTGTGTGCAACATAACAAATTTTGGCACTTTATCAATCAACAAGCACTTATCATATTCTACGCCAGGCACTACACTAGGTGCAGGAGCTACAAATACAAAAGTGAAACGTCCCTTACTTCAAGGAACTTATCTTCCACTTACATTCAATTTAGCATTTTATTCTACACTATCTTGTATTGTTCTCTAATTGTTTCATTTGTTTAAGTATAGCTTTAACTAAATCATAAGCTCCTTGAGGAAAACAACTGTCACATACTTATATCCACCTATAGGACCTATTAATCACACAGAAGATATGTAGCATTGTATTAAACCAAACACTTACAAATTTTGTCTGATAACAAAATCAGTCACTATCCATACTTTTTGGAGTGGCAAATAATAAGAACACTGGGGGGTCAGGAAGACCTGGCCACCTCTGACACTTACTAGGCATATGACCTAGCTGCTCTGAGCCTCAGGCAACTCTCTAAAACTAAATTTGGAGTATGTATCAGTGGAAACCAGTTAAATCACAGGCATCTGATATACTGACATACACACAGTTGAGAAAGCCAAGTTTTTGCTATATCTCTTCTGCCTTACACCCTGGATAGCCAGCAGGGCTGTGCTCCAGGACAATTATGTAGGTTTTTGCCTATTAGTAGTGACTGCTCTAATGGTCATACATCACCTTCCAAATCTGGAAATGTTAAACATAACAAGATTAACTGATTTACATCCCTAGTAACATAAGCACCTACATAGCTTCCCCAATGCTTTGATTCTGGAAGCCTCCTCTAATACCTTCCCTAAAACTGCTGGTAATGTACCTACTATACGCCATTATAGAAAGAAATGTTCAAGACAACGCAAAGCATGCCCTTTACCTTTGTGCCTCTTGCTTTTCTTTTTTCTGGAGACAGTCTGCTCATGGACGCTCTCCTCTTGGGCACCCATCTCATCACTGCTGTCACCAGGCTCCCCAGCCCCAGAGAAAACTTCTTCTGTAGGGACCTGGGAGGCTTCCAAGCCACACAAAGATTTCACTAGGAGACAGGAGAGCAAGATGAAACAAAATCTCACCCAGCAACACAAAACAAGCCAGACAGGCTACCATCACCTAACAGAAGACATCCAGGGCATGGCACTGAAAATTAAGAGAATCATTTTTAGAGAGCACTCTAACAATGCAGCACTCAATAATCCCATTATTAAGGCTATACCTTCAGAGCACTGTCAAGCAAATCAAAAATTTGTATTTAGGGTTGTCATTTGTAACACCAAAAAACTGGAAGCAATCTTAAATGTCCAAAAGGAGAAAAATTGCTGAACTGTGTATGGAATACTATAATACAATTAATGACAAACGTAAATAATATACAGAAAACATACAATATAATTTTAACAGCACTGAAAAGACAACATGCACATTGACCATGACTACGCAAAAGGCAACATGGACAAATGAATAAAAATCATATACTAGCAAAGTAACAACCAATTTTTAAAAGAAAAAGGAAAAAAAGGCTCAGCAATATGAGCCAATGTGATGTAGAAAAGAATGGCTGTACTTCTGAGTTATCTCACACCTGGCAATTTAACCAGAAAACGAGGTAATATTTTTTCCAGAAATACTTTTTAATCCATAAAACAATGAGTACATTCTTGAAAACAAACTTGAAAAGGTGGCCCTCTTCCTTGACAAGACTTATCCACTTATGCCTTCGATATATCCCCCTGAACTCTCTTCCATCTTCAATCTTTCTCTACTAACATTCCCCAGTACATGGAAACATACTCAGGTCTTATAAATTCTTTATGAAATCTTCACTTATGCCCTCAAGCTATTTACCTATACTGTATCATTAACTGACAGTTATAGCTAGAATAACCTCTTTACTTCCTAAACCACTCCTTTCTCCACCCCTTGTAATTTGGCCTCTGACCCCACCTCCCAAAAGAAATTGCTCTCTTAAATGCTAAATCTTACATCATTTTTTCAAATCTTATCTTTGTGCTCCCTTCCCTGTTTCCTCTCTGCAACTCTGATACTAGTTCTTATTCCTGGTGCTTCTATGATAACTGTTCTCTTCTCTTTCCCTTCTGACTCCTCAAGTTTCATTGGCTGGATCATCCTTCATCCCTTAACCCCAGGGGTGCTCAACGAAGCTCAGTTCGAGGGCCTCTTTCTCCTGATTATCTCCCATTCCAATAGTTTCAATCCCATATCTATAAATCCAACACTAAATTCTCTCCTAAACTGGTCAGAATCTTTTCAAGGCTCAGTCTCTTACATGGAATTAATGATCTATCTTTCCTAAAGAGTTATTTGCTCTCTGATTTCCCTTTTTTAAACTGTCCTGTATTTAGGTAATGTCTCTGTTGTATATTGCCAGTAAAATGCATACAATCAGCTAGGGCTGATTCATTTCTGTACCTACATCTGCAGCACCTAGCACAATGCCTTAACTCTTAACATAAAGATGCTTAATTGTCAGCTGATTTTGAATCTGTCCAAAACGAAAGAGAATATACTACTTTCATGCTACCCCACGATTTAATTCGTCTGGTAAAATGGATGATAAATTCTGGGGTAGGTAAGTGATGAAGTGGATAGAATACTTGGCCTGGAGTCAGGAAGACATATTTCTGAGATCAAATCTGGCCTCAGACACTTACTAGCTCAGTGACCCCGGGGGCAAGTCACTTAACTATTTGCCTGTTTCCTCCTATGTAAAATGGGCTGCAGAAGAAAATGGCAAATTACTCCAGTATCTTTGCCAAGAAAACCCCAAATGAGGTCACAAACAGTCAGACACAACTGAAAAATGACTGAACACAATGACAAATTCTCATGTCATTCACCACATCTACTCTAGTAGAGAGGCAGTGTGGAAGAGCACAGAGAACCTGCCATGAGGACATTAATACCTGGATCCAAGTTCCACCTCTGACATACTGAATTGCGACTCTAGGCAAAGAAAGGAACTTACTAAAGTTCTCAGTTCTTCACGAAAATTCTCTAAAGTCATAAATTACAAAGAAGGTGCCAACCTATATATTGGTATAAGGAGTTTCCTCCTCCTGGAGTTCCCTATTCCAGTGAAATCCTATAACCAATCTTTATTATACAAGATGTTCCAAAAATCTTAGTGCAATTTTAAGCTGTTAAAGTTTAAAGATTTTTGGAACACTCGGAATGCAGCACCCAGGGAGCAACATATCTTCAACCTGAAAAAGACTGCATATTACAGCAGTTGTTCCAGGAACTAAAGGACAAAAAGACAAAGACAAGTGAGAAAAACAACTCAGGAAAAACATGTAATGGGAGAAAATGACCAGAGAGCAAAAGGCATAGACTAGAAAGCAAGTTAACTAATACTGAGGGAGAAAACGAAAGAAAACAATAAACTAGAAAGCGCAAATAAATCAATCGAGGAGATAAATGTAGTTTCTAGCTACTCCCCCTTCGCTCTTCGTTCCCCTTGGAAAACACTTATTTGAGGATGATACGATGAAAACAAACAACTTCATAAGAATAATCTCAAGGGAGAAGAAGAGGAAGTTAAAACCAGACGAGCTGCAACAGAAAGGGCAGGCAGCTCAACGACTCGGGCCCCTTGCAGCCCCGGGATCACCAAAACCTACCTTCCTGCTGAATAGCATTGGCAACAGCTTTTTTGACTCGTCCAGACTTCACGACCGCCGGATCCGAGTTGGCATAATCTGCCACGGTCACTGAAAAACAGGACACGTTCTCACCACGGCAGCCCCTACGGCAGGTGTCTCTCCCTCCTCCGTCCTTCCGGTGCGGCTCGCCCCTTCCCCGCAGCCTCGGCTCCATCTCGGCCTCCCCGCCTCCCTGACGTCCTCTCCCCTCCCTCCCCTCGCCTTCGCTCTCACCTCGGCCGGAGCAAGCGTCGTGGGCCCGGAACTTGAGTCGTTTCCCTCTCTTGGGCATTGCGGCGGGCTCGGGGCGGGGACAGCCGCGGCCTAGCGGGCCGGGGCCCCGGGCCATGTCTCGGACCGGCAGGGAGAGCCGGGGAGCAGCGGACCAGTTACTCCAGGCTCCGCGTCCATCCCACACCCAGGCCCCGCAGTTCTCGCGAGACCTCCGGCTCCCAGTCCGGCGTCGCTCCACGTCCTGTCGCGTTCGCCGCCGGCGCCCCTCTAGCCGAACCAATCCCGGCCGGGTCCGAGGGTGGTGACGTCATCCCAGGCGAACGGGCGAGACCAAGAGGAGGAGGGGGACGGAGCTTCCCCCGCTTCGGGGCGTGGTTTGTGCCCGCCGCCCGGGCCGCGCCTCCCAGGCCTGCTGCCGACATCTGTCCTTGCAACCAGAGGCACTGGTATCGCAGGAGCTAGCTTCAGAACTTCCCGACTCCCCCGTACTGACTGCACCTTCCAGGGCACTGGTGCCGGACATGCTCACCCAGCCCCTCGCTTCGGGTGCGGGGGCTGTAAAATAAAAGCCGACATTTACGTAGCGCTCTACAGCTTAACGAGCGCTTTCCTCACAACCCCCGTGCGGGCGGCATTATTACAGCCTTTTTACAGATGAGGGAGGCGGGCCCGCTCCTCCCTCCTTAAAATATTTCTTCCATAGTAAAACAGTTCTCCCGAGGACTGGGGACTGACTGTCCAACCTCCACCGAGGTACATAAAGCGTTTTAAAACGCGGAAAGCTCTCCATTGACACCAGCGCGCACTGTGGAGAAGCCGAGCAGCCTAAAGGCTACGTGGAGCCCTGTCCTTCCTGCAGCTGCTCCGTGGGGGAGTGGGGGAGGTTTGCGTTAGAGGCCCCCTAAGCCTGGCGTCTAGTTGGCCACGTGGCAGGGAATCGATTCTAATGACTCCAAGCCTCCAAGGGCTTTTTCACCGCACCTCGAGAGCAGGTCCAGAAGAAGGCAGTATTACCCACAACCCGCTTGTCTAGCCCCAGGCTACCTTTACAACCTTTCTTTGCCCAGATTTCCCCAAGCTGGACCGCCCAGGTGTTGAAACCTGCTTCTGGGCTCCTATTGGCTCATCCTTAACCACCCCCATTTCCACCTGTGGAAATGGTTAGAACCACCTCCGAAAAGCTTGCCTCAAATGCCACGCGTCACAAGACGATAGGACTTAGAGCTAGTAAAGAGTATCTCTGCCCCCTCATTTTACTGAGAAAACACATAGCTTGGGAAAGGAAGTAACTTGCCCAAGGTCAGAGTGGTAATATGTAGTAGGTCATCAAAATGAACGCTGCTGTTAGCTTCCTTATTACTGGAAAGCAGCACCATCCTCCCAGTGCTTCAGGCTCACAACCTAGAAGTTTACCTGGATTCCTCATTATCTCTTACCCCACAAATCCAAGCTGTGGCCGAGCCATGTCGATTTCACGTTTGCAACATCTCTCCAAAGTGCCCCCTTCTCACCTCTGACACTGCCACCACTCCAGTGCAGTCTCTCATTGCTTCTCACCTGGACTAGTATAATAACCCGCTTGTGGCTGCCTACCGCTAATCACTCCCCATTCCAATCCATCCTCCATTCAGCCACTAAGGTGATTTTCCTAAAACACAGATCCCATCATGCCACTCCCTGCTCTCAAATTCCAGTGGCTCTCCACAAAATCTTCCGTTTGACATTTAAAGCCCTTCATAACCTAGCCCTCTGCTACCTTTCCAGTCCTCTCACACCTTACCTTGCTGAGTCGTTTTTCGATCTTGTCCCACTTTTTGTGACCCCATTTATGATTTTCTTGGCAAAGATAGTGTAGTGGTCTGTCATTTCCTATTCCAGCTCCTTTTCCGGATGAGAAAACTGAGGTAAACAGGGTTAAGTGGGTTGATTTGAACTCTTGAAGATAATCTTCCTGAATCAGGACTGGCCCTCTATCCACTGCACCACCCAGCTGCCCTTCTCACACCTTACTACCCCCATCATGCTCTTCAGTGTTCCATGAAGAAGACACACCATCTCTGGCTCTAAGGCATTTTCTCTGGCTGTCCCCATACCTGGAATATGCTTCCTTCTCATCTCCATTTCCTGGCTTCCCTGGCTTTCTTTAAGTCCCAACCTAAATCCCATCTCCTAGAGGAAACCTTCTTAGTTCTAGCACCTTCCCTCTTTTAATTATTTCCTATTTATCCTATGTATAACTTGTTTATACACATTCATCGGCTTATTATCTCCCCATTAGATTATGAGCTCCTTGAGGGCAGAAACTGGAGGTTACCCTCTTTTTTGTAACCCCAACATTACCATATTACCTGACACATAGCAAAGTTTAATTAGTCTGATGGACAACTTTAATGTGCTTCCAGGAAGCCTTCCCTGAGCCCCCTCAACCTGATGTGATCTCTCTTCTAAACAATGAAATACTTTCTTTGTACATCTCTTAGGAAATTTATCATACATTGCAGTTATTCCTCTTCATGTCCTTGCTCTCCCAGAGTACAGCAAACCCTATCTTATTCACCTTTATATTCCTATCAGCACCTAACTAGTACCTCCCTTTCACACAGAAGGCTGACAAAAAAAAATTTAAATATATTGACCAATGGGATATTCATTTGATTCTCATACAGGTATAATCAAAAAGTGCCTCAGAATTAGATTTTACTGAGATTAATCTTATGTACTCAGATATTGGTTCATTATAGCATTCTCTGAATGCACTCTATATATGTGCACTGTGGATCTGTGTAACTTATACAGTGACCTAGAATAACTCCACATACTGAAAAAATACTTTCTGAACATGTTCATATACTTATTTTAATTTCTCAAACAAAGCTTAAGATAAAAGAGTAATTGACTTTTCCAGAACTCATACATTTAGAATTGGAAGGGACTTTGGAAGTAATTCAATCTAATGTGTGTCATTTAATCCAAAATGTGGCATTTTATAGAGAAGGAAAAAAGCTTGGGGAAGTTAAGTGACTTGTTCAAGGGCCAGGATCAGAACCCATATCCTCTGATTCTAAATGCAGCAATTTTCTAAGGCATCCCCACTGTATCTAACAAGGTCAGGAAAAGTATATTTGACTGCAGACTTGCAGATCTGATAAAAAAAAATTCCAAAAATGAAAAGAGAAAGAGTGAGTACAGGGAGAAAATCTATATTTATCACTAAGCTAGTTACTGGAGAGTAGCAGGTACAACCATGGGAGAATAAGGTGGAGAGCACCATAATTCATGTGAAATTATTTCCAAAAAAGAGCAGTAATAATAATAACAAAAATAGTTAATGATAACAGTAACAGTAATATCAAGGTAAATGATTAAAACTGTAACTTTTCTGCAAAACTGATGAGTTGCAGCTCCAAATAAGCCTCATAATTATTGCCTCAAATGCTTCACGGTAGTGCATGAAATGTTAGTAAAGAACTTTAGAAGCTTCCACTCTGATGCAAGCCTAAATCCATCATTCTTAACAGGAGACATCACGTATTCATTACCAAAACAACGAAAGCACCAATGACCCTTCCAAATATAGTCTATTTATGTTTTTGTACTATGTATAAGGCATTCAATTCTGTCACTCGGGAAAAAATCAATAAACACGTGAAAACAATATATTGACTTCATATCAAAATGGGCACACAAAAAACAAAATCACTGTGGTATAAAGAGCAACTCAATATAAATTTGGTGATTATTGAACAAGTCACCTAAAAGCAAAGTCTTTGACTCAGTTCTGCACTCTTGGCTTAGTAATGTACTACAAATATATATATTTAAATGCTAGAATATTGGATATCCACTTGAAAAACCTCAGTTATTTTCATTTGAATTTTTCTTATTGTTAGTTATTTGAAGCACTTTTTCATATGTTGATGATAGCCTGGATTTCTTATCTTGAGAATCAGTTGCCTTTGACTGTTTACCTACTGTGAAATGGCCTTTGTTCTTATGTATTTGTATCAATTCCCTACATATCTTGAATATCCTTTATCAGAGAAATTTTCTCCATTCTCTAACTGATAAAGAGTCAAAGGATATAAACAGTTTTCAAAAGAAGAAATCCAAGCTATCCATAGCCATCTGAAAATATGCCCCAAATCACTAATAAATAAAAAGATATACATCAAAGCATCTTTGACATATTGTTCAGACTGGCAAAATTTACATAAAAGGAAAATGACAAATGGGTTATGGAAAAGCAGGCACATTAATGAATTGTCAATGGAACTGTAAATTGGTAGTCATTCTAGAAAACAATTTGAAACTATGCCCCAAAAGTTGCTAAACTGAGCATTTCCCTTAATCCAGTGATAGTTATATTGCTAAGCTTGTACTCCTAAAGAGATCAAAGAAAAAGGAAAAAGACTACTACATGCAAAAATATTTATAGTAGCTTTTTTGTGGCTACCCATAAATTGGAGAATGGCTAAATAAATTATAGTATATGAATTAATGGAAAACTATTTTGCTCTAAGAAATTGTGAAGGAGATGGTTTCAGAGAAACCTGGGAAGATTTATATGAACTGATCAGAGTGAAGTGAGCAGAACCAGGAGAACAATTAATACAGTAACAACAGCACTGTAAAGACAAACTTAAGAACTCTGATCGATGCAGTGACCATTATTTTAGATGGTTCATGCTACTCAACTCCTGACATAGAGGTGGTGGATTCAGCATGCATATTGAGACATTTTTTTTTTGGACATGGCCAGTTGGAGAATTTGTTTTGCTTGATTATACGTATTTGCTTAAAAAAAAAAAGAGGTCTTGATTTTTCTTCGGGGGAGGAGAGGGAAAGAATTTTTTTTATTAATAGAAAAAATTTAAAATTTTAAATAAATAAAATGAAGGGATTAGGCTCAAAAAATTTTTGGCAAAGGTTTCCCTTCTAATTCTAAATATACTGACTTTCTGCAAAAGCTTTTCAACTTTATTTATTAAAATTTTCCATTTTATACCCTGTTCAGTAACTTCTAATGATTGGTTGTGAAGATTAGCCATGTGCTTTGTGATCTAGATAAAAAGAAAGTCTGAGACACTCATTTAAACAATAAGCTCTTAGGATCATTCTAGCAGAGAGCAGCAAGAGGATATGGGGATTTCTCCCTCCCCCCGCTCCCATCAGCAATGGTACCTTGTAACAGAAGCAAACGGCCACAGAAGATGTGCCTG